TATATATGAGCCCTTGGTTTCAAGAGAAAAAAATCATTCTTCCACCGTTACATATAAAATGAAGGTTAATGAAGCAATTTGTTAAGGCTCTCGACAAAAATGGTCAATGTTTTCAGTTTATTTCACAATTTAAGTACTGAAAAACTAAAAGTAGGTATCTTTGATGGACCTCAAATACGTCAATTAATAAACGACACCACTAAATTCGAGACTTCTATGATTGATGTGGAAAGGCTTGCGCGGAAATCTTTTGTAGTAATTGTACAAAATTCCCTCGGAAACCATAAGGCTGACAACTATGTAGAATTAGTAGAAGTAATGCTGGTTCGATTCAAAGATTTAGGCTGTAATATGAGTACAAAATTACACTATCTCAACAGTCACTTAGATCATTTTCAACACAATTCAGGAGAACTAAGTGAAGAACAAAGAGAACGTTTATACCAAGACATAAAAACAATGGAGAATAGATACCAAGGAAGATGGGAAACTCCTATGATAGCCGACTACTGCTGGGGAATCATGCGAGATTGCCCAAGTCAGTGTCATTCGAAAAAATCACTCATAAGACAATTTCTCGATGCTTTATGCCAATATTATATACATTTCTGTAAAAAAAAAAAAAAATTCTCGGGAACTAGAGTTGTTAGAAAAAAACCGATTACATATTTGATATCGCCATATTGATTACATATTTGATAGACATACTTAAAATCAGGTCTAAAATCCCCGGCACCAAAATGGTTGTAGGCCAGTGTTATTTTTTTTTTTTTTTTTTTATTGCCTTTGTAGGCAGACGGGCATACGGCCCACCTGATGGTGAGTGGTTACCGTCGCCCATGGACTTCAGCAATGCCAGGGGCAGAACCAAGCCGCTGCCTACCGCATATCTTAGCAACTAAAGATTTGGATTCTTCCTTTAACTAATTAAAAAAAAAGAAAAAGTTAAATAGGTCAACAGATGTTCTACATACCATATTTGGATTCGTCTACTAAATTTTCTCTTTTGCTTTTGACATTTAACTTTTAGAAAAATTTCCATTGTTTTTTTTCAAATCTCTATACTTCGTCAGTATTTATTAAACAAGTGAATCTTAATGAAAATCTATTAATAAACAATATAATACGCCTAATCATTAAAAAATTTTGAAGTTCACCTTTAGTCTCAAGATGGGTGGCTCCAATCTTGATATCTATAGTTTAGGACTCGTTCAATCATCTCAATAAAAATTCTACCACTACCTTGCTTCATATATGCAAACGCTAATCGCAATTTAAATCGTATAACAATACTAATTATTCAATAATACTAATTAATAATAATAATTATTATACAATAATATTTATTCAATAATAGTTATTGTTATTTTATAAAACGCATAAACTTGGCTCAAAATCGTGGGTAAGGTTCATGTAGATCACCTGTTGTTCAACCACTTCAGTGATATTCTTTTTTTTTGTTATAGCTTAAAAAGTCTTACCTTCTTTCCGAACCTTGTTAATAATTCACTAACACATTCCTGTAATGTAAACAAGCATGTGTTGCGTGTATTTTTATCGTTTTACCAAATTACCGGGCATCGGATTTCGTGTGAATTTCATGTGGGGTCCCTCAGAGTCGTGCACCGAGGTGGCGATATTCCCACAGGTCAAGCGAAATATCCAACCGTATGTTCTCACGGCTACGAATCGAAAACAAATTGTGTAATGGGTCAGGTTCGACCTTATTAACCTTAATGTTAAACAAAAAGGTATTGTCAAACTGAACGTTGTTGAGAACAGGTTGCGGGTTCTGGAGTGAAAATTACATAACGACATACTTGCACAAAATGAAAATATATTGCATACAATTTTTTATTTAAACGAAAGCACATTTGCATGAGATTTATATTTATTTGTAATACAAATTGCGGTGTTCATTTTATTTAGGTTTTTTCTGTATTTCTGTGAGTACAGAATACCACGCCCGGCCCGCGCTAGCCTTTGTCGATTTGCTCAAAGCTTCATTGTGTCCCATGAATCCCGTATTGTACGTTCATTGTACAGGTTTTTTGCAATGAAATTCCACTCCTATTCATTCCGATTTCATTTTATTCAAACTATATTCAACACGTTTCTGATTTCACGATATAATATGTATTATTAACATTAAAACACGGTTTTGCGGTTTAATTCCGTCTTACGTTTTAACTAATTTGAAATGAAATTGTCTTTCTAATCACTCTTATGACTTGTGGAAATAGGAAAGTAGCATTGTTTGTCATTTTCATCTCCGTGTTAAGTGTGAAACAAAATAAACATATTTTTTTCTGTAAGCCTAAACGTAACATTAAATTAAATAATTTTGAAATATATTTTACTCTACTTTACTCTTGCAGCTTCTACGTGGACATCACTTTCTCTTAAGATTTAGCATTAGGCATTTAAACGTACAAAAACAGTTTTTTGATATAACACCGTCACAGTTCATTAATATTTACAAATTATACCTTTAAAGCTTCCTCGATTATCGTTCTTTCTATTAGCTACTGTTGCTGTCAGCTCGGTTTCAATGTTCTCCAAATCTATTTATTTGCGGTTTATTTAGACAACCTAAATACGAACGGTTTCTGAACACGTTATCTTAGATTTGAGAATCCGATTATTAATATTAAAATTTTATTCCTAATTTGAAAGCATATCGAGCGATAAAAAGTTGCGGCTACAACGGTCGCGCTTACGGTTATGACCACCGACCGTGAAGAGGGACACCACCTGTTATTATTATATTTACGAATGAAACTCAACGTTATCCTTCAAAGCATTAGTGCTTCTTTCAAACGAAACCGAAAGCGATACTATCGTGCTAACGTATACAGATGATTAATAATTTCATTCGTAACGTTTTCAAACCCAACGGATTTTCACAAAAACGAACAGCGCCGTATCTATCGGTTTTAAAACCAAATTGATGAACGGTTTAGCGAGGCAGCGTACACACTACGCGCTTACGGCGGAGATATGGAAATCGAATAAGCGTACCCCGCCCGAATAGAAAAGGAAGCTAAAGCGCCCCTTCATAATGCTAGGAAACCTTTACATAATATAAAAGATTCAATCCCAAGGAGCCAGTTGAACCGTGAATCACCTCATGGGTTCTGATAAATTTAGGGCAAAATATCGAAAACAATGTGCTCGAAGGGCGGAGACGGCCTTTTAGCTATATTCAATACTGTTCAATATTTAATTGAATTCGACGCAGTAACAGACGCTCTGCTATAATGGCTTGCAAAATACATTGTACACCTAACTCAAGAAAATAATTCTATTCTAAAGGTACCCGGGATTGCTATTTTACTAAATCAAACCAGTCAATGTTCGCGGTAGGAAAAGTAAAAACACTTAAATAAATCATCGTTGTCCAAATAGTGTGCTACATCTATAAATTGACCCCAAATATCTTGTATTAATATCGGTAAAAGTAAGTTTTCAAATCGGACTCGTATTTCGTGGAGCAGGCGAAAATTTAAATAGGTTCGCTATTTTTTTTCAGGTTTTTTTTTCAAAGCTCATGAAAAAAGATTGGAGGAAAAAGTTTCTTATTCTGAAATGTATTTACATATCCAGTCAAAAGCTTGAGTGGCACGTCCGCGATAAGGGTTTTTTAGGAAAGGTATTTATATCTGTTTAAACACGTGGTTCTAGTTACAATTTTGATAGTAGTTGAGCTTCATTTTTTGTGACTTATAGTTTGAATCTATTTCTGTAAAAGATAGTTTGAATTCTTTTGCATCAGCAATTTTTTTTATTGCCCTTGTAGGTAGACGAGCACACGGCCCACCTGATGGTGAGTGGTTACCGTAGCCCATGGACTTCAGCAATGCCAGGGGTAAAGCCAAGCCGCTGCCCACCATACTAGCTCTAATGAAATAAAAAAAAAACATCAACAGATTAACGACCATTACGTAACTTTGTCATATTGTTTTTTTTTATAAACACAGATAAACAAGACGGTCATGACATTATTGATCTTATTTATTGTATGAGATCTTATAATTATATACTTTATTATAAACATAAAGGTTTTCTCAAAATATGTTTTTCAGGGTTTTATGTTATTAATCTATGTATATGTATATATAAAAATGAATTGCTGTTCGTTAGTCTCGTTAAAACTCGAGAACGACTGGACCGATTTGGCCGAATTTTGGTCTTGACTTATTTGTGGAAGTCCAGAGAAGGCTTAAAAGGTAGATGAATATGAAAATGCTCGGAATTAAATAAAAATTACAATTTTGTTTTCCTTTGATGTGTTGTCCCTCGTCGCCCCCCATCGGACGAATTCCTATTATTTGTTTTAAGTTTATTATAAACAAAAGTTTAGGTCTTTTATTTATCGATTAAGGCTCTACGAAGTCTGCCGGGTCAGCTAGTCAACAATAAAAATAGCATGTTAAACGCTTTTTCTATCAGTTTAGATCTGAAGTTAGCATTAGATCTGAAATACTTATATTAGATTTTCTTGTAACTATAGCTTAAATAATATTTTGGAAGTTGGAATTTTATAATCATTACTGTTAATTTCAGAGTTTCAACAGAAAAAATCCGATCTTAAAATATTCAGACTTGGAATTAATAACGTCTTACGTAATATGTTTCTCCAAGAAGGAAGATAAAAAAAACATTTCAATGGCACTTTACAGAAGCGTATCCTCATAAATAAATTCATCCTCTTGCATACTTTCAGTAATTTAAAGAAATTTACTTTTCTTTCAGAATACTCTCTAAGCTTTTACACTACAGTTTAATACCTGTCATTAAATAGTTTTATTCTTACCTTAAGAAGATTAATCAACCGTAGCGTACTGTACATTTAAGATTCGATCGTTCGGTTAGAATTTAGAGGCACTCCATTCAAAGTTACCTTAATAAATCACCTTATCGGGTAGGGAGGCTGTGTTAAAAAGGCCCTTTCGCTTCCAATTGTCGTATAGGAACGTATAATGTCGACGTGTACTCACCTCTTTGACCAGCTTGCTGACGTGGGTTCGTAATTCAGCCACAGTACTCCTCATCTGTTGTCCTTCGTATTTGAGCCTACCAACTTCATTGTCCATCTTGTCTAGCCTGGCTTCTTGAGTGCGAGCAAGTTGCGCTAAGTCCGAGGTCTCGGTAAGGGCTTGCTTTAGCTTCAACGAAAAATAACTTAGGTTTAAATTGTTGGTAAGCGCTTATGTACGGTACTCACTAATGCAGATTGTACTTTACTCATTCGATAGCAGGTCGTACTAAATCAGGTTTCACTAATCACAGTGAGGATATATTTTCGGAACACAATAATTTACGTAAATGTCTCAACTAACTTCCATTCGCAACTTCAATCACAATTTAACTCAATATCTCGAATCTAAATTGATTAAATAGAGTTTGACTTAGGGCAGATCTACACAGGGATAGTTTCTCGAATACAAACGAGGATATCAAGTAAGAATATTTTTTCAAATATCAACAAATATTATGAATTATTCGTTAATTACCAAGCCAATGTTGCTTCCTAATCTCTCGTCTTGATTGATGCTCGCGTGAACGATGACTAATCGTATGAAGTTGCGTGACATTATATCATATATGATATTCTCTTCTGCGCAACCCCTTTTCTATTTCGATTAGTGAATTTTTCACTTAGGTATTGGATTTATAAGTTTGAAAAATGTTAAATAGTTACCGAAGTCAAGAAACTACAAGTTATCGAACCGGAGCACGATTTCTTCCTATTAGGAATATGCAGAACAGTGATCCCAATTCATGCGAAAATTATTAAAGCATTGTGCTGTTCACTGACCTCATTACGTATGATGTGCAGTTGACGGAGGAGGGCTGAGTTGTTGACGCTTTCACCGATTTCCCTGATCTCCATCTTCAGCTCTTTCATGGAGGTCTTGGCCCATTGGAGTGTTGCCTGTTCATTTCTCTCGTAGTTGTTGGTTGGCGTAGAACGTTTGTGTCTACAAGAAAAATATCGAATGGTAAATATATTAAGAAATAAGAGAAGATAATGTTATTATAATAAAGTACAAATGAGAATCTTTACGTTTTTTTTTTATTGCTTAGATGGGTGGACGAGCTCACAGCCCACCTGATGTTAAATGGTTACTGGAGCCCATAGACATCTACAACGTAAATGCGCCACCCACCTTGAGATATAAGTTGTAAGGTCTCAGTATAGTTACAACGGCTGCCCCACCCTTCAAACCGAAACGCATTACTGCTTCACGGCAGAAATAGGCAGGGCGGTGGTACCTACCCGCGCGGACTCACAACAGGTCCTACCACCAGTAAAATCTACGTAGTTATACATAATGCCTGTATTGATCACATTTATGATACAAGCTAATGTGGTTACTTCATTTAGCTACAAACAGAAATGATGGTGAAATCAAATAGGCATCTGGTAAATTTAAAGCCCACATAATTGTTTAATAAAACCATATAGAAATAATACTATTTAGGCCTACGAAGCTTACTAGAGTCATAATTCAAAAATAAGCGAGCCCAGTGACGTACCCCAGCTTTGTAATGCAACAATGAGCGACCAATACCGTGTCTCCTGAACAACCTTCCGGTTAATAGTGTTTCAACGGAACTAATTAATCGCGAACATTACTGCTCAACGGTTATTAAATGATACTAAAGTGGAAAGTTGAACTGCCTTTAGTAACGTTTAAGAGTAATGTTATGTTCAGTTCGATTTAGATGATTTCAGGCACAATACCATTTTTTGTTTGTGATCCATCTTTTTCTAGTAAACACGATGCTAAATGATTAGTATAGCTCATATACATATGATGACCACCTGAGACATAACGACGAAATCTCAGTTTTATTGCATAAAGTCAGTTCCATTATTTAAGTAGAAATACAAGATTGTTTCGCGGCAATATGGGTAGGACAGTGGGTAACCACCCGTGCAATTTTGCAATATATTTTAACCCTAATAAATTGCAGTTGGCGGTCGTAGCATCGCAATATGCTGCATTCTCCGGTGATTTTCTTAGAAACCTTTTACGAAATTTAACGGATTGAGATGTAATGATACTAATCTTGGCCGACATCACACAGCCAAATTTCTTCACGAATAGTCTGCATTGTTAGATATATTTAATAAAGCCGTAGCCACTGTCCATACATAAAAAGAAAAAAAGGCTCAAACCTACAAGGGTATGAACTAACACAGTTGATTAAAACTGTTAAAATTGAACAGGCAGAAAGAACATCGCGAATGATATATCTGAATCAGTAGTTTTTAATCAATCTTTATTTGAAGTTGGAAAAAGGCATATCGCAAGCCTGCCCAAGTTGATGGCACAGGCCAGTCTATTTCTGCCGCACAGAGATGATGCAGTTCCTAAATAAAAAGCAGGACGGTCGTATTGTAAAGAATACGCGTAACCCCAATCCGACTTCGACAATTATTTTCAATATTGGAAGACGATATCGCTACTCGTCGCAAACAAATTTCACGAGTGGCCAGCCAAAATATCAAAAATCTTTATCAGCATAATAATTTCCGTGTTCTGTGCCTATCGTAAAGATGTTAAATATTTATTTTAAGTTCGTCACTTTAAATAAAATTATCGCGGGCTCGATGATAACATCAGGTGCCTGTATATCTAATCTATTGGCAGAAGTTCATATGAAAAATGACCGCACAAAATACCTACGCAAATACATACAGATATATAATTCATTATTGAATAAATATTTCAATCGTGCAGTGTATATTTAGAACCAAGAAGGATGTAATTGGAATTTGCCTGATCCCACATAATCTTGTATGAAGCGGGGTACGTTAATAACTTCACTTAGCATCGTGTAGATGTGTAAGTTATGTACATGCAAGGTATTAAATATAAATGTATTTACGGATTGTTTGTGCCAGGCAGTGTAACTTATGTTTTAAAAACAAATAAAACATATGTATACAGGTAAGTCTTATTATTGGGGATAGTGATATTTATAAACTCTGCACTGGTTGATATTACATTTTTGATTCCTCCAGTCAACTAATCATGCGTTCAGAGTATCAACAGACTATAGTTACTGTATTTGAAGCCACATATACCTATTACATCTACTTCTGTGTCCAGACAGAATAATGATATAAATGAACTACATATGCCTAATTTAATGAGCTTAGAACTAAATTAATAATGTTTTAAAACCAAAATATATATCGCTTTGTTTATAATGAGGCATGTTTTAGTATGATTTAAATTTAACAATCTAAATTATGGCGTTACCAAAAACTGCGAGCCGCAGCTAAGGTGTTTTGTGCCGCTCAAATCCGGACAGTGACAGAGTTTATTGTGTTACAGTTTCACGGAGTTTTTATTTGCGAAAGCAACGCAAGTTGCAACAAAAATTAATTAATTTTGCTTCGTTATACATATTTGCTAGTCGTGTACATCAAGTTTGCAGTTGGTAACCGTAATGACGTTCAAGGAACTAGAAATGTCTTAGCATATTTTAACTTTTGGTGTCTAAGTACTCGTTTAAACTTTAAGTACTGGGTGGACTATGTAAGTTTAGTAAGTACTGTTCTTTGGTTCGGAACATGGAGCCTGTACGTATCTTTCTTAGTTAATACCACATATAAGTGTTAATAACGTGTTCATCAACTATTTCCACGGTCTTCTTCTTCTTCTTATTTATAGCGGTTTCCCGGTCTAGTGTCAGGGTCATCTGTCCTACTTCAATTCCTCCACATTGCCCAGCCCGATCAAGGAACTCAATTTTTTTTTAAAATAAATAGCAATCACACATTTTCCTAATTTGAATTTGGAATTATCTTCTTTAAAATTTAAACTTTTAATGATACCAAAACCAGCCAGATAGATACAAATAGTATAGCCAAAGAGATATTATTACAAGTTCATACATACTATAATGCAAAAAGACTTTTTCCCCAATCTATTATGTATGTAGCAAAAATAAATATAAGTGTCTTAAATTTATACGGTATAACGAAGTCTATATATGTATGTACGAGTGTGCACGAAGAGGAAGTAGGTAGGTATGTAAGCAAACCTTTTTTTGTCGATTCCTATTAAAACACCAGCAGATGCAAAGGCACCCCATTAAAATCCGCCTCTATATCACAATAAAAAGCCTCTCGAATCGAATGTAATTTAATGTATAAAAAGGATAGCCCGAACATTCGTGGGGTGGCAGATGACTTGTAGACGGTGGCCACATGCCGACGAAATAAAACGACAGACATTAGAAATAGCACCTGCCTTTGTTAGACATTGAGGTCGAAAAATTCGGAGTGTTGGACCTCTGCAGTAGGAAGTGCCGCGTCGCAAACTCAACCTTGTGAATTTAAATTTAGTTAATTTAGTAGCTCCCGGTTTTAATGTTTCCGAGTTTTATTTTTGTTCCGCGGACGGATAATAAAAGGATTAATTAAATTTCTTACTCCGGACAAATTAGCTTTTGCTAAACATATACACAATTATGTTGTAGATAAGATGTTATATCCGACTATAATTATGTATATCAAAGGTGGTCGTTTTGATAAATGGACTTTATTGTCTAGTTTAATGAAATATAGCAATTCTGGCGATTTCATTAGCACTTTTGATATAAATTTGTATTTGTACAACATGTACGATTCGAGAAAGCCTTTGAAAACATGCGACACTTTCTATGATTTTGGATGTCCACGATTCATAAAGCAAACTAGATTTATGTTTATTTATTTTTTTAAATATACGCTAAATGTTTTTTTTTTCAGCCGGCGGTTAGGCACGCGCTTCGTTTGTCGGCGCCGGATGTGGGCTCACAGCTCTACTTCCGGTTGGACTATAAATAAACACAAACGCCAGATGTTCATCGCAACATCACTATTTTATCGTTTTCGTATTGTATTCTATTCTGATTTAGCTTGACTTGAATAATATAATGCACATTTCAAAGTGAGAAAGAAGTAATCAGAAATAGCTTGTCAAACTTCGAATTGGGATATGCGATAGGCGCTACTAAAAACATTGATTGCCTACGTGGGTCATAGGAAACCATAGAAATACAATTTTAGTTAAATAGTGTAAATTAAACATATTAAATATTTCTCAAGTCAAGTCAAACGCTTCAAAAATTGTTCCCATATAAAAATAACAAAGTGTATATGATCGAACGGCTCACTGTTGTTGTTGTCCTGATATAATATTATAATAAAACCATTATAATATACTATATTACATATAATGTATTTATTTATATATAATAAATCATTGGTTGAGCTTAAAATAAAAATAACATTTTGAATTTCAAAATCCTAATAACATTCAATTACTCACGTCAACTCAAAAACCTAAAACCCGTAGAGAAATTTATATATACGTACATATGTATATTATTATGTAAATATGTCAATCGATTCTCTTCCTATTTTTAAATATTTAGTTGAAATGAACGTTTTAGCGTTATCAATAAAATTAAATTGGAATATAATTTTTCCTTCAAAACGAACCTCAATCTCGAGGGTTTAGTGATTATGTTCGAATTTTGATCATCCGGCGAACACTAGTAAGTAGTAAATGGTTAGTTTCACGTTCAAAGTAATACGGTGCCTCCCCATGGGCTCCGGGAAGGGATCAAAACGCTATATCTATCAAATTTTGTCCTAGACCTAGAATGATGTACATTTCTTTGATTACTGATACACGCTATGCTAGTAGAATGTATTAATTGAAAAGCTCACAGTTATGTAACGCTATGTGGTAATGTTTTGAATAACTTCACATTCCGCTAAAAGCCGTTGGCGCTAATGACGTACGATCTACCAGAATTAATATCAATTAGCGTAACTTTGAAAGTCACAGAATAACTTGAGTTAGACAACTTGCCTAGTCTAAGACTCGAACTCCGAAACTTCGGAGTCGAATATCAGAGAAGCTAGCGTCAGTCTATGAACTTACAAACGTCGGTAATAATTAATCGAGGT